CCCCCCCAAGCGCAGTTCTACTGACTGAAGTGGCTTTTTGTTATTCTTAAAGAGGGGATATTAACATGTTCTTATGCACAGCAGAATGGTAAATGGGCTGATTTATCAATGTCATGCTCATACTGTGCCTGAACAGCATAGGGGGAACTGCTGCTTTTTCTTTCCTCATCTTTACTATTGTCATTTTTTTATTTTTTTTAACGGCGCTCGCAACTGCATAAGGTCATATGAGCGTCAAAGGGTGGATGTCAACACAGAAGTCCAAACGGGGAATCAGACTTACTCTGCTCACCTCTCTTGCTTCAACAGCACAAAGTCTGCTTCGACTATCAAAGCACCCCAGAAATAGCAGTTCAGAAGAGGGTGACAAACATACAAAAGAAGTAGAGGAAAATGGCGATAGTTAGGATGAGGAAAGAAAAAGCAGCAGTTCCCTCTACATCGTTCCGGCTCATAATAACAAAACCAAACATACTCCTTGGTATTTTGCAAGCCTAATTTTTTTTTCAACTGCATAAGTGGGTGGTTGGCGGATGCTTTGGTGTGGTTTGCTCCTTCTTTCCTTTCAAACATCTATCGTCCTTATCTCTCCTCCTTCTTTCCTATCAAACATATATCGTCCTTATCTCTCCTCCTTCTTTCCTATCAAACATCTATCGTCCTGATCTCTCCTCTTTCCTTTTTGTATTTGTTACTTTCTTGTAGCGCCTCTAATCTTGGGTACATAATATCATATATGATCTTATTGTGTTCATAAAAACTAACATACCAACAGGTATCTTGCAAGTCTATAAATTATTTGTTTCCAACTGTATTAGTGGGTGGTTGGTAGAAGTTCTAGTGTGGTTTCCTCTTTGTTCCCCATCAAACATCCATCATCCTTATTGTTTTCTTTTGTTTTTGTTTGTTTATTAGTCTCTTGTAACAACTTAATCTTCGGCACGAGTACAACCTAATTTTGTCGCAAGAGCCGCACAACTCTTACTAAAAACAAACATATTCATTAGTATTTTGCAGACCTATAAAATATTTGTTTGTTTAACACTCTACTTCTTTCAAATACACCCACCATGTGGTTTTTTAGGAGACTGCTGAGAATATCGTGGAAGGAAAAGAAATCAAATGAGGTAGTGCTTGATGAAGCCCACATGGGACGCTCAATGTTAAAAACAATCAGGAAATGACAAATGCAGTTTTTGGAACACTTGAATAGACATGAAAGTCTTGAACATCTAGCTCTCACTGGCAAAATTGAAGGCAACCGAGGCAGGGGTAGGCTCAGAGCAATCTACTTAGGGAACCTAAACAAATGGGTAACGGGGTAAGATCAGGGAAACGTAGCTTTTTTTAGAGCATCCGAGCAAAGGAATGAATGGAGAACCATGATCGCCGATGTCTGTCTCAGATCTGACACTGGATGAGGATAAAGATGCCCTGAAATCTTCACTGGGATGATAGGGGCGTTAAAACGTTTCCATTTCACCAATTTGTCGCTTTTAAAGACAAGCGTGCTAACCCAGATTTCGGGGGTTTCCAGAAATCTTGACCTACACCAAAAAATGGGCATTGCCCTACCTATAGGAGAAGTTTGGTTTCTTTGGTGTGTATATTTCTTCGGTTATATTGAAAACTCTCCTTGTCTTTTAAAGAAATTTGTCCAAAAATTTTACCTTTGATTTTCTCAAAACAGCATTTTTGGCGATAGCCCTCTTGTGTTTCAGAGATACCAATTACAAGGTTCGATACACAATTTTTGGCTGTTTTGAGTTACTGAGACAAAGAGGTCAGAAACCAAATACTCTATCTGCTCTATCAAAGTCAGGAGATTATTGGGATTTGTTATCCAGAAATATTACCTTCGATTTTCTCTAAACAGCATTTTTTCGGGGTAGCCCCTTGTGCTTAAAAGTGACCAATTGTTCTTTTCTATATATTTCTCTTCTCCCCCCCCCCCCACACGGACAGATGCCCCCCTCCCACGTCATCATGAGCAGGTACGTGATTGGCTACAAGAGGTCGCTTACCCTTCTCCTTCTCCTGTGTGGGGGCCTGGCTATGTACCTCACAGGTGAGTTCACGGCACGTTTGTTATTGAGCAGTTCTAGATCAGAGATCCCCACCCCCACCCCACCCCACCCCCAATTCCAAAATGAGTAAATAAATAAATAAATAAATAAATAAATAAATAAATAAATAAATAAATAAATAGTTGAATAAATAACGAGTTTTAAAAAAGAACAAAGAAACAAAAAGCGTCAGTGAAATGTGTCCTTGTGGTGCACCAGGTGGTGATGGTTGCGGTTTCAGGTGTAAAAGTAGCACCAAAAAAGTTGCCGCCAAAATCTGGTGACTCCCAAAGCTTAAATATCCTTTGAAACTGCAAATTCACATGTTTGGGGCTTTTAACCAACTATAATTCAAACTAAAATATGTTTTTAAATAGACTTAAACAGTGTTGAGGAAAAAATTGATAAAAATTACCTTTTGGATGGAATAACGCCAATTTTTTCGATTTCTTTATTTTGACGAGTGCCCCATTTTTGCCTCGATGCCTTACATACTGATTGTGTCTGTTTGTTTGGGGGGGGGGGGGGGGGTTGTGTATGAGATTTTTCTTTGGGTAAGATGGTTAACTTCTGTTCTGGGTTTTTTTAACCATGAGCTTCAAGAGGCAGACAGACTCATTCATTCCGAGGAAGTTTTCAGAACGTAAAATATTTTGTCAGATTGCAGTTTTAACACACACACATGTTTATTGCAGTTCTTTAACACACACACACACGTTTATTGCAGTTCTTTTACACACACGTTTATTGCAGTTCTTTTACACACACGTTTATTGCAGTTCTTTAACACACACACACACGTTTATTGCAGTTCTTTAACACACACACACGTTTATTGCAGTTCTTTAACACACACACACACGTTTATTGCAGTTCTTTAACACACACACGTTTATTGCAGTTCTTTAACACACATGTTTATTGCAGTTCTTTAACACACACACACACGTTTATTGCAGTTCTTTAACACACACACACACACGTTTATTGCAGTTCTTTAACACACACACACACATGTTTATTGCAGTTCTTTAACACACACACGTTTATTGCAGTTCTTTAACACACATGTTTATTGCAGTTCTTTAACACACACACACACACGTTTATTGCAGTTCTTTAACACACACACGTTTATTGCAGTTCTTTAACACACATGTTTATTGCAGTTCTTTAACACACACACACATGTTTATTGCAGTTCTTTAACACACACACACACATGTTTATTGCAGTTCTTTAACACACATGTTTATTGCAGTTCTTTAACACACACACACACGTTTATTGCAGTTCTTTAACACACACACACACACGTTTATTGCAGTTCTTTAACACACACACACACATGTTTATTGCAGTTCTTTAACACACACACGTTTATTGCAGTTCTTTAACACACATGTTTATTGCAGTTCTTTAACACACACACACACACGTTTATTGCAGTTCTTTAACACACACACGTTTATTGCAGTTCTTTAACACACATGTTTATTGCAGTTCTTTAACACACACACACATGTTTATTGCAGTTCTTTAACACACACACACACATGTTTATTGCAGTTCTTTAACACACATGTTTATTGCAGTTCTTTAACACACACACACACGTTTATTGCGTTTGATAAGTGAAGAAAACAAAATGTGAAAACATTGCCATGTGTGCAAGTTGTCCTAACAATGAGAGATATTTGTCCTAAATATTGCCATAGGTGCAAGTTGTCATAACGATAAGAGAGATATTTGTCATAAATATTGCCATATGTGCAAGTTGTCATAATGATAAGAGGGATATTTGTCATAAACATTGAATAAGATAAGTATGTCTGTTTGATTCAGGCGCTGTTTGTAAACCACATTGTCTGTTCGTTTGTTGAATATTTTTTTTAAATCTGCTCTGGCCAAAGAACTAACAGCCTTTAATCTTACAAGTCTTTAAATATTTAGGTTTGTACATATTCTAAACATTGTGGAAATGGGGGGAGGGGGTGGAATCTGAGCACACATTCACGAAATCGTCACCTCGTAGTTTACAATATTAGAGATGTCTTACGCCGAGATCAGTAAATATTTTCCTGTAATCGCAAGTAATCATATAAGTACAGAAGTATAAATAAAATGCTTCAAGTCTCAGTCGACGAACCAACCCTCCCTCAAACAAAACAACACGAAGTTCAAAATCTGGGCCATGATAATGTAAATGTATATGTGGATAAGCCACAATATTTTGGTATATACATACGATGAAAACAGGGCCTGTTGTTTCCCTGGGTAACAGCATGTTGTTTAAATGGACGTCTGTGTTGTATGTTGCTGGTGGTTGCATTGCGTCTGTTGTTGTTGTTGCTGCTGTTACCAGAACTGAGTCGATAGTGACGTAAAACACCTACTCAAACAAACACACAAACGAGCCGTTGTTGTTGATGTTGTTGTTGTTGCTGTAGTTGCTGTTGTCGTAACTTAGAGCTTTTGTTAAGCGTTTTTTTTTTTCACTTTTTGTAACTTACGAGCTGTATAAGCTAGGTCGAAGATAAATTGTGAAATGACAGAAAACGAGCACTGACAAACGGGACATGGGCACACGATGATGATGTTTGATTTTAGACTGGTGGAAGGTGATGAAATAAAGTGAAGTGTATGGCTTCCCACTTTCTCATCAGACAAATAGATAGATAGATAGATAGATAGATAGATAGATAGATAGATAGATAGATAGATAGATAGATAGATAGATAGATAGATAGACAGATAGATAGATAGACAGATAGATAGATAGATAGATAGATAGATAGATAGATAGATAGATAGATAGAGACCAAATTCCAGTTTTTACCTACACTCCCCCCCCCCCTCCCCCCCCGTGCTCGTCATATTATACAGAAAAAGGGATAGCTGTTCTCGGACAGGTTTCGTTTCACGCTGGTCACTTTTAAGCACAAGTGGGCTATTCCGAAAAACGCAGGATTGAGAAAATCGAAGGTAAAGTTTTGGACCCTTATTCAGTTTCTTTAAAAGACAATGAGAGTTTTCTCTACAACCAAACAAATATACACACAAATGAAACCAAACTTCTCCAATGGCCTCTTTTGGCGTAGGTCAAGTTTCTGGATACCCCAGAAATCTGGGTTTGCCCGCTTGTTCTTAAAAGCGACCAATTGTGGCTCAGGGTTTCTTGTGTCTAAAGAAAACAGATTATTATACAGGTATTACTAGCTGGACCAGTTATTATAGCTAGCTGTTTTGGCTGAGAAACTTTGTGTGTCTGTCTACGTCAGCACTGCCAACATTGGTCATGAGGAGCGGCCTCTTTGGTTCAACGAGAGAGGTTGTTTTTTGTTTGGGTTTTTGGGGGGAGGGGTTGTTGTTTTTTTGGTTGTTTGTTTTTCGTTTGTTTGTTGTTGGTTTTTGGAAAGGGGGGGGGGGAGGGTTGGTCCAAACATGCTACAATTTACTGAATGACATCACTTCTTATAGCTGCTGCAGCAATCACAAACGACAGAAAACAGAACAACGGCACAAGAACAACACTTACGATAGAGTGTATTTTTGTCACGACGTGCTGGAATCAGTCGCTCGTCAATGTTTGGCCATGTGGAGTTATTGGTATTATCTTAAAGCTTGTTCATTTTAATGGAAAAGTACTCATTTCCGTTGAATAAATCTCCAGATATTTGCGATTGTAGGAGTGGGGGTCCCCTTGTTTCAGCAGTAACATTAGCAAGAAAATGGCCACCAAAATGTGGTGATTTTCCAAGCTTGAGAGTCGTTGAAAACAGAAAATGTACATTTTTTTAGCCTTTATTCATCGTTTTTCAGAAAATCAACACAGAAATATGTTTTTAAATGGAAATAAAAGGTGTCGAGCAGATAAACAATAGTTCGAAAAAAAATGGCCAACCCATAGGAGAAATGCTGATATCTTCGATTGTATTATTTTGGCAAGCGCTTGATTTCAACAAGCGGCCTCACATTTAGAAAAGTTGGCTCTGAAATACGTTTTCGTGACAGACATTAATTTTTACGTAGAGCTTTCTGATCTCTCGTGTTTTTGTTCCCAGCGTTCTCGACTCACAAAGACACACGGGAGTACGTTCCGGTAAGTGAAACTTTTCTGAATGAATAACGTCACGTCTTTCGAGTTTTGTTCATCTTTTATTTAATGTCAGTGTCTTTTATTTCCTTTGTGGTGAGGGGAGGGGGTAAAGACATTGATTCTACTGATGAACGTTTGGGTTTTCTCCAGACAAAGATGAATGTGTAAATGGCTGAATACCTTCACATCTTTTGAGTTGTGTTCATCTTTTATTTACTGTGTGTCTATATGTGTGTATGTGTGTGTATGTATGTGTGTGTGTGTGTGTTTGTTTGTTTCAAGTATGCATGTAAATTGTATGTGGGGGTTTGTGCGTGTTTCTGTTTGTTTGTGTTTGTGCCTGTGCGTGTGCGCGAATGCGTGTGTGTGTGTGTGTGTGTGTGTGTGTGTGTGTGTGTGTGTGTGCGTGTGTGTGTGTGTGGTGTTTGTGTGTGTGTGTTTGTGTGTGTGTGACTGTAAGATGAGTGGTAAAAACACCTACATTTAACATTAATAAACTTGTATTCGTGCAGAACAAAGATACACGTTCAGGCTTTTAATATGGAAAAAGTATATTTTTTAAATAGTAAATTGTTTCTTCCCCTATAAAAAGAGTTGAATTCATGACTCAGTCTCAGTAGCAAATAACACATGAGGGGAGGGGGGGTAAGAACAACTACTGAAGGAACTTTTGGTTTTCTAAAAACAAAGATGATCGTGTACATTATGATCTACGTAAATTGGTCGCTTTTAAGGACAAGCGGGCTAACCAAGATTTCGGGGGTTTCAGAATTCTTGACCTACACCAAAAGTGGGCATTGCCGTACCTATAGGAGAAGTTTGGTTTCATTGGTGTGTATATTTGTTTGGTCATAGAGAAAAATCACCTTGTCTTTTAAAGAAACTGAACATGGGTCCAAAACCTTTAACTTCGATTTTCTCAATCAGAATTTTTCGGGATAGCCCCCTTGTGCTTAAAAGCAACCAATTGTGAAGATAGAGCCGTAAAAACCACCTACATTAAAAAGTCACATAATTTTCTTTTATGTCTTGAACATCAAGCTGGCAAAATTGAAGGCAAACGAGGCAGGGGTAGGCCCAGAGCAACATACTTCCTAAACCTGAACAAATGTGTAAGGGGGAAAGACAAGAGAAACGTTGCTTTTTAAGAGCATCAGAGCAAAGGAATGAATGGAGAACCTATATTGCCGACGTCTGCCGCACCCCCCAACCTATCCCCCCCCATCCCCACCCACCACTCCCCCACAATTCGGGAGTCGAACTCAACACTTACGTGCATGTTCAAAAATGAATTTTTAAAAGGTACAAAAGAAGAACACAATTTTCTCGTTTGTCCAACCCAGCACTCTCCCCCTCCCCCTCCCCCTACCCCTCCCTCCCCCACCGTGTCGCGGCTGTTTCAAGGTCACCCCGGCTATGACATCACACTGGTCACTATGTACCTGAACCTGGGAAAGTTCCAGAAGGGTGGCGGGAACCACTTCTACACCACCGAGGGCTATCTGGGCTGGATGAAATCCTGGGGCTGGCTCAACAACACCGTGGTGGCTTTCTTCGACGACGACAAAATACTGGAGGTGTTTAGGTGGGTGACAGGACGAGATGAGATGAGATGAGATATGATAAGATAGGATAAGATAAGATACGATACGATACAATAAGACACGATATGATATGATATGATTAAGATAAGATAAGGTAGGATACGATACGATACGATAAGATAAGATAAGATAAGATAAGATAAAATAAGATAAGATAAGACAAGACAGGACAACAAGAAGATAAGATAAGATAAGATAAGATAAGATAAGATAAGATAAGATAAGATAAGATAAGATCACGTAGAGTTAGAAATGCACCTCTAAAAACAAAGATTGATATAAAAGAAGTTTTCTTACCATCTAGCATAAGGCTATAGTCAGAATCATCACCAATGTGTGTTGCTCTTTCCAGGATGTATCTGTAAAACTGTAAAGGTCTTGTAAATAAATTCCTGCATGTGGTTGAATGATGCATCTGATGTGATGTGTACATTTTGTCAGCTTTACTTTTCTTTTCGTATTGAATTTTAATGAGAGTAATAATATGTGAGACGTGCTGACAAAATGAGTTACTTCCCGTAGTCCACAAATGGAGATATCGGCCAAAGATCAAACTAGGGTCAAATTTGTAGATTTTCTATCCATTAAGTATAACATGCCTTTTATTATTTCATACGTATAAATGTGAAACGTGCTGACAAAATGAGTTACTTCTCAGATTTTAGCCCGATGGAAATAGAAACATCAAATTTTTAGATTGAAGTTTTAC